TTCTTAAAAGTGACATTATCAATTTTTAATTCATTAAGTAATTTTAGTATATCGTCAGGTGCGTAGTCATTATGTAAACCTTTCAGTGTTAGATTAATAGGTTTTTCAGATTTTAGTGTATAAGAAAAACACTCGACGTTAGCTTGTTTTAAAAATTCAAAAATAGTTTTAAAAGTTTCAACATCTTGTGTATATATCGTGTGTCTTCCTTTATTTGTTGATTTTATCAAAAAATTATTTATTTTTAATTGGCCTTTGATTAGTTTTTTTATTGTAGGTAAATCTTCCGATTCAACAATTATAGGTGGAATATTTTTGTTTCTTTTGTTGTTGTTGTTTACATTGTTGCTGGTGTTATTGCTGCTAATGTTGCTGGAATTTGATGTACCTGCTATGTTTTGACAAATTGAATTCGTAAGTGTAGAATTGTTTTCATTATTTCCGGATGTTTTGGTTTGGTTTTTTTTTTTTTCTTTATTTTTCTTTCGTAGGACTTCAACAAAATCCACTTCATTTTCAATGGATAGTTTATCCGAACATAAATTATTTTCACCAAAATCAAGATCCATATCACCAACGCTAGGAACATAGGAGCTGGATGCCTTTTGATTAATATTTTCGTCAGAATTATTCTTTGAAATTAATTCATCAACCTGTTTTTGTAATTTTTGCAACTGCTTTTTTAAAGATGAATTATCTTGCAACAGTTTTTTATTAGCTTGTGCTAATTTTTTCGTTGCATTTTTGGCTGACATTGCGCTCTTAAGGGATGATTTTCTGCTTGTTTTAATACAATCCTTTATATTATTTGGATCATCGTTTTTTTGTGCTGAAACCATGTGGTAAATTACCACCAGCACTACAGAACAACCGATTTTTTATAGTATATATGAATTTTACACTTATAATGTGCAATCTACAGTGCAAATTATATCAAAGATAGTTCAATTTATTAAGTAACACAATAGTGAATAGTTATTTATTGAATATGACAACTTTTCAATAATAGTAAATGTAATCCAAAATTACACGACTTTCTTCGGTGAGATACCGATCGCCACCGCCCTTATAATTCCGCCCCCTCCTTCCCCCCTTCCCATCTTCAAAAAGTTGTAGTCTCTCGAAAACTCCTAAAAAAAAACGAAATCACAAATATTTTCTGAATTCCGTAAGCGCGGTGAGGTTTCTTCTGTCACGTCACAGTAAAACTGAATATTAATAAGAAAAAATGGTCGTTGAAATTTACCGTTACCTAAGACACGTTAATTTTAAATAATTTTTGTTAATCCTAAATATATGCAATAAAATTATGTATTTGGGTGTAAAGCATAAAGGTAATTTGAAATGTGATGCATGTTTTTTTTTTTTTTAAAAAGTGATTTTGCATTTGTTCAAGGGATTTTCTTTTCAAACCATCGGTTTGATCCATATTTATGGTTCCTGGGTTATCTTGGTTGTTTTTAAAAGCAGTATATTCACTTGTTCAGGAGAAAAGTGCTTCTTTACAAATCATTGATTTGACCTAATTTTATTATATTCATGGTTCATTTGATAATTGATTACTCTGAATAAAAATGTTAAATTTTCTGTAAATACATTACAAGGGGACTGACATACGTATACACACATATTTTATGTACAATTAAAACAAAAATGTAATAATAATAAAAATCTCATATCACTTTGCTCTTTTTTTTCGTAATGGAATTCATTTAAATAAATTTTTAATTATGTTATTATTGTAATGTTTAATTGTTAATTGAATCAATATGTATACGTATATGAACACAATATGAGCTTCAATATAAATGTATGTGTATGTATGTTATATTTTTATAGTAATATTTTTGTATGTTAAAAGAAAATTATGTATTTAATAAAAATAATTATCCTTCATTTTTTTTTAATTGTATTATTTTGTTATTAAATTTTCAACATAAATTAAAATCGAAGTAGCTATATAAAATTGTAACGAAAAATGATATTAATTTGAATACAAAACAAATACATTACCTTTGTACAAACAAATATACTAAAAGATATCTCAATATTTATATAATATTAAATATGAAAACAATAAAAATGTATTTTTATGTAATTTATTATATTACATAAAAATATTGGCTCATTTTTAGTAATGTAATTATTATTAAGTGTTTAAAAAATGTGTTAATAATTTTATTGAATTTCTAAATTTATAAATTTTTCCGGTTAGTAGAAGAATATCCTTTTAACGTTTATGATATTTGTTATGGAACGAAATAACTTATTCGATCATGCCTCGAGCTCTCATATTATTATACCGTCATAATAACTAAATATTTTGTTTGGGAATCAATTTTTTGAATAACTGTTATTAATAGTTTTTCTATATTGTTCTTAAAAACCGTATAATATAAAATATAATAGTATGCATTCCTATTGCCATAGACTTTTAGAATTGATAATATATACATGGTTTCCTTTATAGAACCTTTTTGTAATTGTAATGTGTGCTTTGCTTAATTGTTATGATCACAATTTCATCATTAAGTAAGCAATCAATTTATTGCAAACTATTGCTAGTTAATATTGAAGTGTAGTACCTACAATTTATTAAACGTTGATACATAATATCAATTTTAAAGTGATTTCCTATAAAATCTGTATATTAAATAAAATGTTATTTAAACGTGTAGGCGACAGCGACAGTTTAAAAATAAAATTAAAGTATGCATATTACATTATTTTATTTTCTGTATTTAATTTAAATGGAAAAAAAAATAAATAACGTTAAAAAAAATATCCGTTGACAATTATGGTCCATTAATTCATTAACAGTCCATTAGGAGAAGTGCATATAATTTATTTAGTGAAAAAAAGAAATGATAAAAAAGAAAACAAATTATTTTAACAAAAAAGCAATGAAAATACAAATTTTTTTTTATCAATTATAATAAGTAGATGTAAAATAAATATTCATTTACAGTTAACTGACATTTAATGTTCAAATTAATTAAACCATAACCACATTTTTTTTTGTTTACATAAAAATTTAACTTAAGTTACAAGCATCATAATATATTATTATGCAAGTAAACATATGTTTCCAAATAATTTGTGACAAATATTTTTATTTATGTTAATTAAATTAATATAAATTATTATATTGCCATAAAAAATAAGAAGTACAGCTTTGAAGTGGGTCGAATAAATTAAAAGATATTCTTGGGCATTTATTAAAATGAAAATTTTAAGTAAATTTGGCCCATTTTTAATGCTATTGCTGAATTTTATAAGAAATAATATAAATTATTATATGCACTAAATAAATTAGTCTAATACTTTTTCCAAATTTCAATTGGACAAGTTATTTACAAATTATAAACTGAGATACATAAATCGATAAACGACTATGTATACGCTACACCTAAAAATATAATTTATTTCCCTTTTAGCTTCGTAAACATATCACTTGTTTTATAATATCATACATATATTGCACGTCATAAAATTAATTACTTAATTGTAACATAGTTAAAAATTATTTTCAAGTTATATTAATGTAAATAAATTTATTTAAATGTCAGAGTTCAATTAAATAATAATTATATATTAATAATAAATATTAAATGCGATCAATAAAGATTAATATTAAAATATTTAATGTTAAGTAAATTCATAAGTGATGGATATAAAGGAAAGATATAAAAATTATTTAAGTTTAAATTGAACTTTTAACTTAAAATATTGATTTTTCTTTACAAACTCTGGTTATATAATGAAAATATATCCGTTTACTTGATCCATTTGCGATATTTTATAATTATTCATGTCCAAATTAATGAATTTAAGCACATTAAATGCTTGATTTGGAATTCTTATAGACCTAAAATAATTAGAATTATATTATATTTATAAAACTTGTTAAGATATCAATTAAAATAACACATTATCTGTGGCTAACCTAATCTTTGTAGAATTTGTAAATCTGCATTCCCTTCAGAATTTCTCTTTTGCATTTTCGTTTTAATTCCTTTAAAAATCTGTTTGATTTATTTATAAGTGCTATGCGCAGCCAAATCTGATGGTATTTAAAATATGTATTCAGGTTCCCAATTCCCGCAAAAAGAAGTCAAAATACCCTCATGATTTTTGATTAGCTTCGATTGTGTTAAAAATTGTTTAACTTAAACGCCTCCATTGAATGAGAAAAAAAATATGTTAGTTGTATATCCACATTATAATACATAATATTGATAAGTGAATTTTTTTTTGATTCTGTCTGACTCTAGTAAAATTTCATCAAAATTAATTCGAATTTTACAATTTCGTAATCAAATGAGAATAAAATTATATTGTTATTTTATTTAAAATTATTCAGACTATCAATTTAAATATAATAAGAATTCATTTAAAGGCTTTAACTTTTTTACTGCATAGTGTTATTTTTGGATTTTATATAATAAAACTTTATACGAATTTACATATACATATATTAACATTTTTTTTATACATTTTTCCAAAGTGAATACAAATTTTGCAATGGTCCTTCTATACACTTCCATTACGTTAAAAATTTTACGATAATTATTATAAAAATGAAATAAAAAAATTTACGGTAAATTAAAATATTTTTAAAACGGTACACGTACGTTGCACATTATATATATATGTACATATTGTAATAAAATACTATAAGTAGTATACATATGTGCATATTATCTACATAATAATTCTTATCCAGTCCAGTGTGTGCAATTTCAATATTTGTTTCTACATATTATTTTACGGACAACCTGCATTATTATTCTTTTAAAGAATTGCTGTAATACGATTATAAACCCTATACGTACACATTGTCTTTCATGTTACTGTATTTCATTAATTTTCCTATACAGCACTATATATTCTCAATAAATTTATTTTTAATTGAATTTAATTTAAAAAAAAAAATATAAAATAAAAACGAATATAAATGTATAATGATTTTTTTTCCTGTTAATTTTTAATTTTTGCAGTATAGTTGCATAGATACGAGCTACCTCAGTCGATATATTATGCACCCATTTTGGAATTGGTGTGTTCAGGTAAGTAAGATATCTTACTTTAACAATTTGATTCGATTTCGTATTATTTTATAGCTACAATTTTATAGTACTACAGTAAAACTTATTAAGTTGATTTATTGTATGTACAGAGAATGTATATACGCATATAAATTGTGTTAGACACGTTAAATAAATTGGATGTAAAATATAAAACAGTATATATATATATGACATTTTTGTTATAGTCATTTAATATGTTTGTGTATTAAATCAGGAGTTTTCAAAATTTAGAGCAATAAATTGTAAAACAATCGCAGAATACGAAGAAAATATAACAATAATGTTCATTTATTTGCGTTTTGAGTGTAATCTTTGTCCGTTTGAAAAGCTATTCACCTGCAACTGATAATCAGGTTGCAAGTTTAAGAAAAAAATGTTAAAGTATGGCGGAATTTTACTTAAAAATTTTATCAACTTATATACTCGTATCACAGTAAACAATGAATTTTTCGAAGATTTTACTGTTGTATAAGTATTAAAGAGTACAAATATATCTGTGTTCGCACTGCTATGCTTATATATATGCTTTGAAATCGAAGATCGAATCAATTTGTTTCATTTAAAATGACAAAAATAAAAAAAAACAAAAGAAAAAAGTTGCAATGAAAAAATGCTCTTAAAAAAAAAGGATAATTTTTTCTTCTCTTTGTACACGGTGGTTTTACTTTTTATTTACTTTTTTTTTGTTTTTAATTTTTTTTTTAGTTTTTTCCAACATGGATGGCACCGAATCTCATAACTTTCTCAGGATTTTTATTAAATGTATTAACATTTTTAATGATTGCATATTTTGATTGGAATTTTACAGCAGCAAATAATTTGGAAAAAAATCCATATCCGATACCAAGATGGGTATGGCTGGTAGCGGCGATATCAGTTTTTGTAGCTTACACCTTAGGTATATATTGTATAATTAGTTTTAATCTGAAATAATAAAAATTAAAAAAATATGAAAGTTAGAAAAGTCAGACAGTGGTTATTGAGCTCAGAATATTTGAAAGTATACTGAAATTTTAGAATGAAATCTTAATATATTAGGTGTTGGGTAATTTAAGAAACTATTCGATGTTAAAATAAATTCGATTCTTGAAGTTTAAACAGAAATTTTGAAAAAATAGATTGTGTTAACGTGATTGATTTGATGAATTTTGAGCTTTAATAGCATAATAGTTAATTTACAAGAATGTTTAATAGATTGCATTTCAAATTAAAATATTTTTTCTATATTTTGTGATAGATGGAATTGATGGGAAACAAGCTCGTAAAACTGGAACTAGTGGACCTCTTGGTAAGTTCTAAAACATAGAGTGTAGCATTAGTAATAATTTTTTATTAAAAAATAAGATGAATTAAATATAAAATTACCAACATCCGTTCATGCTTTTTCAAAAATTATAATATACTGACTATATGCATAGGAGTGCTCGTAAAATTTATTTTCTATGCCGGAAAATGATTAATCCAAATGATTGTCGATCACATTTTTTGGGATAAGGTTTTTACTGAATTAAAATTTTTATATATTTAAATTTTTGTGTAGATTGTGTAATTGACAATTGTTTCACTTATTTTCGATGTGATTACTTGCATATATTTATACAATTAAACTTATTTATAAAGCAAATTATAAGGCAACAGTCCTATAAGTTACTACTCCATAAGAGGCTTCTATCAAATTATTGACTATAACAACAATTGCAAAGCTCTTCCACTTATATATTTTACCATTATAACTCAAACATACAATTACAATTCAAACTATCATATTGAAAATCTATTTTAAATATATATACTTTTTTTATCTTTCACTTTCACGTACAGGTGAACTATTTGATCATGGTTTAGATTCATATTCAACAATTGTGATAGCATTATATATGTTTTCATTATTTGGTACAATTGATTTACCACCAATCAGAATGTATATGATTACATATCTTATATATCAAAATTTTTATTTGTCACATTTTGAAAAATATAATACAGGTGTAATGTTTCTACCATGGGGGTTTGATTTTACATTATGGGTAAGTATAACAATTAACACAAGGATACAAAATATTAATATTATTTAATTTTGTAATTTTATAGGCGGTAACACTTACACTTTTATTAACATATTTTGTTGGACCATGGATATGGCGTTGTCAATTACCATATGGTCTAACAACGGCAAATGGTTTTGAAATTGTTATGTGGAGTACAAGTTTACTGAGCAATCATCCGATTGTTGCATTAAATATATACAAGTGAGTGTATTTTAATTACTTTAAAAATATAATAAAAATATTGTTATTTAAAATATGCATAAATAATAAACTTTTGTTTTTAAATTATTTTTTGATTTCATTTTAAATTTCATACACTAATTTTAAATTGATTTCATTTATTACACTAATTAAATATTTATTTGATATTTTTTCGTTACCTTATAGGTCTTATGTAAATAAAACTGGTAAAATGAGATCATTTTTTGAAGCTGCACGACCATTATTTCCATTATTATGGCTTTGTATTATAACATTAATTTGGATTTTTGGTTCACGGAATTCAATTATTGATTTAGAGCCAAGAATGTTTTTATTAATGATGGGAACAATATTTTCAAATATATGTGTAAGTTTTATTTATTATACTTTGTGAAAATATTTAACTTTTAAATAATTAAATAGTTTCGTTAGATGAAAATCAATTCGGTGTTCTAATTTTTTCAATTAGATTTTTAATTTTTCTCAAAATGAAAATGGAAAATTTCTTCATCATTTATAATTTTGAATATATGCAAAGAATTCATAATTCGGCATATTCGTTTAATTCTGATTCGCACACCGCTTTTCCTCATTTGGCAAAAACGAAATACATATAAAAATGATTGAAGCTCTAGAATTTTACACCGCACACTTCAGTTAATGGTATACAGTTTGTGACCTCTTGAACATCAGTCGTCTGTGGCATGAAAATGTAGTAGCGTAAAATTTTGCGTTGATTTAGACATCACCGTTCGTCCGCTCGTCTTTCTTTTCGATCTTATGAGCAGCCGGAAACAAAAAGAGCAACAACCTCCAAATTTTCAGAAAGTCAAAAAGTCAAAAATCAGGTTCATTGACAACCCTCGAAATTGACACCCCCTTCCTCCTCCTTCAATACAAAAATTGGCGAAATACCCTCCCCCCCCCGGGCTGTATTGGTTCGCGAAACTGCGATTTAAAACTAATTTTGAATACTTGAACAATTATAGTTTTATAATTAAAGATTATCATGTTGTAGGTCCTAATTCAGTCCGTTGAGGTCGACGGAAACGGTTTTTCTAATTTAACTTAAATATTAATTATTTGAAAATTTATTTTACAGCTTACAACAATTATACTTTTTTTAATATTAATTTTATCATTTACATTTTAGTTTATTAAACTTTATAATCCTTTTAACATTCATATTTGTACAAACATATATATTTTATGAATAACAATACTCATTTTACAAATTTACAAATAATTTTTAACATAGATACATAATGTTTCTTTTCAATTGTAGTGTCGATTAATTGTTGCACAAATGTCAGATACAAGAACGGATGGTTTTAATATATTTCTGTGGCCATTATGCGCAGTGGTTATAATATGTTGTTTTCCATTCTATCAGTATTTTGGTACGGAATTGACAGCTGATACCGAACGATGGATATTACACGGTTTAACATTATTTGTAACAATTGCACATATACATTATGGTCAAGGAATTGTAAGTACATTCACAATCATGTAACAAAAAAAATAAAAATTGCACATACATATATTTATATATATTTATATAGAAAATAAATAAAAAAAATAAAAAATTAAACCAAAAACGGAAATTCAACAGTTAAAAAACAATAAAAAATTGTATTTGGTGTAGAGATGCGCTACATTTGTAATATTCAATTTAAAAAAATTTGTACTGTGAATGAAATGATGCTGCTGTTGTTGTTCGAATTATTTTTGTTGCTAGTCAAGATATTTTATTTATAAAAATGGTTTTTTTTTATTTTTTATATGTATTCTGTTGAGTTAAGGATCAAAAGTGGTTAGTTAGAGTTCTACTATATAGCATTTTAACTAGAATTGTACATTTAAAAAATTTGGTTTTTGGAATTGTGTTCAATTAAAATTTTTTGTAGAGCTTTATTTATTTATTTATTTTTTTTTTCATTTTTTTTTCTTGAAAATTTTGTAAATTTTTTTATTTCATTTCTTATTTTTTGTTGTCTTTCTTTTAGAATTCTATTTTATTTGATTCAAATAAATTCAATGTTTTTTTACTGACAGAATGGAAAATAAAAAAAAAATTGTTTTAACTTTAAAATTAATGAATTTTAATTTGAAAAGATGTGTTGAGGCTTTCAAAAGAATGCTATGTAAAACACTATTCCAAATATTAAACTATTGTATATACATATGTATGCATAGAAAATGAATTGGTTGTGTATAATATTAAAGTTTGTGTGCTAAAAGACTTACATACATAGTATACGAGTACACATATGTATATAATTCATGTAAGTCTTTTAGTACGGGAATTAATATTAAATTCTTATTGGTTTTACCAAATTTTATTGAATTCTGTATATTACAAAAGACACGTGTACGTCATATAGTAGAGATAACATAAATGCTATAAGCTATGAAAGGTTCTAATAAATTTCCTAAAAATCCAAATAATAAATTTCAATTAAATTGTATTTCTAAAGAAAATTTCTTTTATATGAATTATACGTTAGAACAAATTTCACAATTCGTTTCCTAAATAAAATATAAAACTATTTAGTAAACTAATATATTTTTAAAATATTTGAAAACTTTTTGGTATACTATATTTCTAACAATATTTTTTTTTTTTTAGTCCACATGGACAAGTAGGTGGAAACCCTTCATGAAGAATTAGATGGTTCCGCACACCTCAATACTGTCGGACTCCTACCGATAAAAACATCCACTATCCCGTGGTGGATCTAATTCGGAACCGCTCTTCCCATTGCTTCAGATTGTACCGTTCTGCTTTCTTTCATGATGAAACCTATCTTCCTTTTTAAATCTCCTCTTTTGTTTTTACGCATCCTAAATTAAGCCGCTTCCATCCTGTCAGCTTCCTCCAGATATTTCAGCCTCTTCTTCTTGCATAACAACATTTCTATGTATTTCGCTACTGCGACCCAATTATCCTCGCTCTCTAGCATTCGTCCCACGATGTTCTCTGGAGTCATTATTCTGATGGCCGTTTCTAAGCCTCGACGTTTAGTTTCTGCAATGCTGCATTCGAAAAAGGTATGGAAGACGGTATTTTCCGCTTCGCCGCAGTGCTTGCATTCAGGGCTCCTCAACCACTAAATCGTGTGCAGGAAATCCTGTGCCCGAAAATATCCATGACCCGACAAAAGCTACGTGATGTAAAAATTAACTTCGCCATGCCCACGCCCAACCCATCTAGGTCCGAGTCAGGTATCAATCTAGCTGTCCATCTACCTCTGTGGTTGTTTTTCCAGCGTTCCTTCCATATATCCATCTTCTGTGCTCTCGCTTTCGCTGCCGCTTCTTGTTTGGTTATGTTTTGATATCTTGTGTAGATTCTCCTTCTTTCTAGCGCTAGCAAATCAATCAGTTTTGCGTCCAGGACCGTTGCTTCCGAAATCGTGCGATAAGAGCACGCGACCCGTTAAGCTCCTCCGCGTTGTGCCGATGCTAAGCGCTTCCTGCAATATTCTTTGTTGAGTGCGTCTGCCCACACTTCCGCTCCATACTTCATTACGGACTGGATAATAAGTAAATCCGCCTCCCAAAAGGCGTCAGACCACCAATGTTCGCCATTAATCTGCTTAGTTGATTGGTTTCTGTTGCGGCCCTGTCTGCCGCCTGGTGGATATGCTGCCAGAAGCCTAATCTTGTATTCAAGTTTATTCCCAGATATTTGTTTAAATAATTTCTGTGCCAGCCTGAAATGATATTTTGGTTGTTATTCTCCTGATGGTAATGACTACTATCTCCTTTCTAGCCACTGCTAGATCCATTACCTGATTCAACTTGATCTACGTTTCCTTTATTTCTCTTGCTGTTATTATCGCTGCAACATCATCTGCGTATCCCACTAGTTGAATGCCCTTATATTTGTAATAATATAGAACATTATTTCATTGAAAAAGATATGCATATGCATAAACAGTCAAAAATGTTTTCTAATTATTTAAAAATTTAAATGAATGCTAAGAAAAATTTGATTGAACGCAAATAATAATATTCATTTTTTTTTTTATAATTTCAGGTGTGTGAAATGTGTGATCATTTTAATATAAAATGTTTCAAAGTAAGAAAAAATTTAAATAAAATAAATAGTTCTAAAGAATTATTAATTGACAATAATAATAAGGATTGTAGTAATGGTATAAAAAATAAAAGATTGGAATGACATTATCAGAATATTTAAATTATTTATTAATTTAAAGCATAAAAATAGTTATATTTTACTATTTATTCTGATAATTTAGTTTCACTTGTTATAATTATACTTACAAAAATTCTAACATCAAGGGTGATTTTATCAAGTTTAATTTTTAAGTAAATGTTAGTTTAAGTTCTATATATTCGGACTAATTATAAAATACTAAAGTGAAATTGTTTTGATTTTGTGTTTGGTAATATTTATAAATTGATATTCTATTTATTAAAATTATTAAAATTGAAATTGTAGAAAATTATTGATATTTTAAATTGATTGAATATTTGAATCTATTATATATTAATATAACAATAATATGTAAACGTTGGGTTTGTAATATAACAATTTATATGATAATAATATGGAAATGTTTATGTTCAATTAATGTAATATTGTATGCTGTTTATTAAATGTATACATATATTTAATTAACATTAAAAATATACTTTTATTTTTTAATTAAATAAGATTGGTAAATAATTACATGCACGTATATAACAGGTATCTAGGTATATATAAAAATTTAATGTAAAATTTTAAAAATATAGGCATTATTTTTTGTAAAAATGTTGAAAATTTACAAAATTTATTTGTGTATACAAAAATATAATTTGAATAAGAATAGTAGCTGTCTTGCTAAGAATTTAAATTTTACATTATAACATTAAGCAACATAAATATGTTATGTATTTATATGTATACAGATCCGGTTCTGACTTTTTCGTCCGATTCGTTTCGAGTCCAAAAAACTCGGTTTCCAAAGTATGCTCTCGCGCTTTGAAAGTTATGAACAATATATAATAAACATTTCACATTGCGCTAGTCTAGTCTAATGAATGGTTTAATGATATATAGAAACCATATATAGAAAAAGTTTTTAGATAAGAATATTGTCACAACTGTGTTGGACTATGTTCCTAAAAATTGCAATAAATACATCAATTGCTGTAAGAAGTATATTTCTATATTTATGACAATTTCTGATTGAATGATACTAAATAATATTTTGTTTGAAAATCTCTCAATTTCTTTGAATAAAATGGCTTCGAATTTTACTTGGAAATTTTCTTAATCAATTTAAATTAACAATAATTTATTAATATATATGTACGTAAGTTAATATGCAACTATCAATAATATTGTTTTAAAGTATATGTTGAGCAAATATTTTTCTATTTAAAATATAATTTATATTTAAAAAAAATATAATTTTAAAATTCATTGTCTCGAAAATTTTTTAAAACTTATTCAAATACAAGCACATAAATAAAATAATGTATGAGTGCATTTAATGAATTTTTGTATGAACTAAGAACAAAATAATTATCTTTAAAAATAAATAATTGATTCTATGTATGCCCTGTAATATGTAAAATATATATACAGAGATATAGTTTAAAAATTTAATTAAGTTATTGTTATTACTTATATATTTAATAAAATTTATTTTATAATTTAATTATGAACATATGTATGGGTGATTAAAAAATATAATAATTAATTTTACAGGAAATAAAATATTTAATTTTCAGTTCCTTTAGAAATTAGATAATTTTAAACGTATTTATTAAATATTTGTTAAATATTGTTGTTTTAATAATTATATAATTTTAAAGTTTATGTTATGCATGTTATAATTGAAATTTTTTAATAAAATATTGCATGAGTATAGCATACTAAAAATATAGGGAACTCAATTTGGAGAAGATGAAAGTTATAAAATGAAATATGCATAATAAAATTATATAAAAAAATTGAATAAATTAATTTTAAAAATTGAATAAATTTGAATTGAATAAATTAATATTTACTATGTAAAATTAACTAAAAATGTAATTGTAATTTTAAAAATCGAATATGTTTGTCCTAAAAAAAGGTAACAATTAAACAGCATGTGATTAATTTATAGAAATAAATATATTCTATAGTTAAATTCATTTAATACAATAATTTTTTAAATTAAAGTAATTTTCTGATAGCTGCAATTATTTATTCCCTAAGTATATTTTTAAGAAATAGTCAAAATTAAATCAATTGTCGAATTGGAAGCATGTTCAAAATCTTTGATTTTATTTGTTTTCCTTGATTTGTGAAAATTTAAATGTTAGAAAAAAGTAATTGTATAATTCTTATATAATTATAAATGTTTAAATGTATGTAATTATACTGATAATTAATTTCGAATATAAAATAATTTTTGTAGATAAAAAATCCTGATTCAAATGATGTGGAAGCTGCATAGGATATAATTTTTAATTATATAAAAATAAGTTTTTGTGTATGTATATATATATATACATATAGATGAATGAATGTTATATGAAAATAATTTTATATAGCTGTAGTTTTCATTTTGATGTAATTTTTAAAATAAAATTTGAAATTAATTTAAAATTTTTTTTTTGTTAAAACATTTAGTAAAAATATTTTTCAATTTAATATTGTAATTGCATTAAAATAAAAATATTTTAAGATTTTGCTATACGTTCTTAAAATGTATATAAAGTTTTATAGAAATATTATTATAATTAATAATTATTAGAATTAAAATAAAATTTATTTTTAAAAATAAATATTAATGAATTCTCATTTGTTAACAATTCTCACAATCCGCCCATCTATGCAAGAGATTAAGTCCGAAAACTTCAATAAGTTTGACAAATTTTAAAAAATTATTTTTAGAACTTCAATAGTCTTATTGCATTTCAGATCCGACCATTTGAATACTTTGATTCAAAAAGTTGCCACACCTCTAAGATTATTAACGAGTTCTTGACACTTACGGCATATGTAGCTTCAAAAATATTTTCATTGTGTGAATATTAAAAAAAAAATTTAGAATACCACCACGCAATTTGATACGAACTTTAAATAAAAACGAATTCGTTATACAACTTTAAATATCAGAAATTCATTTTAACTCATTCTATTTGACTTTTGAATAATTTAAGCATATATTTATAACTAAATACTTATACATACAACAAAGTTTCCAATACTGTTACCATTATAATTAATTACTAATGATACTTTAAATGTCAATATTTCAATTTTAATATTAAAGTGCCCTGAAATATGCAAATTTTATAACGAACTTTATAACCATGATTTTCCAAATTATAATTTTTAATTACATAATTACTTTGAAATAAAGTATAACTGTATATATGCGTATATACATTTTTCGAAGTTGATAACTCCAAATCCTTATATATAATACACTTTTAATGTATATAACATGAAGTTTTGTGTGTAACATGAAGTTTTGTTTTATGTACATATCATAAAACAATAAATTGAATGTAAGTATTGAGAAAAAAATTTCATTTTCTTTCAAAACATAGGATGAAATTAAAAAAAAAATAATTGAATTTTTTTTTATATAAAAAGGTTGTTCATGAATATGAATTTTGCCGTGCACATCTTTCAATACATAGATTTAATAAAGAGCAATTTGTTGTTTTATAACTTAAGGGTTTTTTTAGTGTAATTTTTATCAAAATTGAATTTTTTCTTTTATTTTAATGCTACAATATTTTATTTATTGCATCCGGTTTTTTCAATTATTAGATATAAAAATATTGATCCATAAATTATCTTCACTATTAGTGAAAATTTTTAAATTAAATAATTAATCTGCCTTACCGATTAGTTCCTTTAACCCTTTTTGATATATTTATTTTTGAAAAAAGATGATCTTTGCCAAGTGGGAAGATTACTATACGGATCATAGCCCGCCAAAGCTGCTTTCGACAATCGTTGGTTTATATCTGGTTTTGTTTCTCCATTGCCTGCCTCGATGCTGCTCAGGAAGTTATTTATTTACTTTATTCAACCTCAGGTTTTTAGTTTTCTTGATTTTAATATTTCTAAACTTTTGTAATATTTTTCCTCTTGGTAGTTGCCAGACTAGGATCAGCCCTAAGCAACACATCCGCACTCGTCGGCACTTACCACCATGATGTTCTTCAATTTCATGATTGTGTGTCTTAGTACTCTTTGATATTGAAGCCTGGCGTTAAAGTGGCCGATATTGCTGTAATCTTCTGGTTCTGTTTTTGGGGTTTCCTGGCCCAATTCCTAAATCCACCTCCCAGGTTGTCTGTATATATTTTGTATGTTATTTGCATTTATATTTCTTGTTTCTTCTGTTATTTTCGATATAAATTCTCGCTTTATATCTGCGTGTTTTTGAGTCAGTTTTAACTCAGTTTGTAATATTTTTCTTTCTCGTGGATGTATTCAGAGCCCTTGTATATCTGATCTATTTGATCTTCTGAAGTGGTCTCTGAGTTTGACAATAATCCGAGAGCATACCCGTTAGAATTCTCATTTTGTTTCTTGTCTCATGCCATTACTTGTTTACAACAGCTCTTAAACTTTAATATACTCACGCAAGTAATTTTAAATCATGATACTTTTACATTATGTTTGTTCCGTTTTGTTATTAAATTTATATTAAAAATTTCAGAAATTTTGATTGTATTAAAAGTAATTGAAATAATATAGAACACATATATTTTGCGAAAATGAGAGAAAAATTATTTGAAATTTAAATATTTGCTCTTTTTTCATATTATGATGTTTAAATTTTTTTATAACTCGTTTCAATTTCTCATCTTCAGGTACGAATATAGTCAGTATTAAAAAAAGTTTGAAATTTTTCAAGAATTTTATATAAAAAATAAAAAAAAGAATAACAGAGAATACTAACATGAGTTGAAAATGATGGAAGTTGAAAATTTCTATATGTTTTTCCATGCTTAAATTGAAAAGTTTATAATAAGATAAAAGAAGAACATCAATAAGTGCAATGAAAAAATGTCATTTTATTATACGGAAAAGAAAAAATCTAACAAACTTTTATATAAGAAATTGAAAAATAATATAAAAAAATATTAAAAAAAAATTAAGTAAAGAAAAAAGTCCGTCCATATATAAAAGAAAGTTTTTCTTCCTCATAAATTTTCTTTCTTTTCTTAATTGCAGCCAGGCATTTTTATTTTATTTTTTTGAAAATAACAAAGCGTCAAAAAGCATTCAGGATTATCAAGATAAATTTATGAATTGCCTCAAGGTCCTGAAGACAAGTTTCAAAGTTTGTAATTTGTAAAAAAAACTTTAAGTTTTAAAAATATTTTTGTACCTATAATAATATGTAGGCACTCTTACATATGAGTTATTATAGTCCATTCATTATTTTTATTGATGCTCATAAAGCAATTTCGTGCATCATAACATTAATTGGAGTTCTTTATTACAAAGATGTATGTATTGTTATGGAAGCTATAACTATAATTATATTTATTAGGTTAAGTAAGGTATTTACTATGTAGGTTTCGCAAACATATTATGAATAGTTTTAAATTTACAACTTTTTATATTTTTTAATCAATTTACAATTACTCTCGGTTTAATAAAAATTAAGATTTGCGATATTCACAAGGGGGTATCGCACCTGGATCCGTTATCAATAGGATTTGTTATGTTCCTTTTCCTAATAAGTATCACATATAGCGGCTAAAATAATCCCCGAAGAAATATACTCTCATTAGAATCGAATATTTATAAATTTCTTCGAAGCTCCTCTTCTAACAAAATAAGGTAACCCAGGGATGTGCTTCTCTTATTGAATAAAATTAAAGCATCATATATCAAAAGGAAGTGCATCAAAGTCTCCTCCCTCACCGCAGTTTCTGTAAGTTCAATCACTCTCCCTATTCAACTTTCAGCCAGGTGTCTTTGATCTGAAAACTCCAACTTAGAAAATCAGTTTTTTCACTCGGTTTTTGCTTATTACCATATGATTTTTATGTAATGCTATTTATTACAACAAAAGTTTCTTGGATAGGAATAACCCTGGGTGATTCCACCATAGTTCTGACTTCATATCTACAATGTATTCTCATATTTAGGTTTTATGTAACTATATAGTTTCATATGACGATTAGTCAGTGTTTCGAAAAAGTATGTTTTATACTTTTATCCTTCGTTTGTTGTTAAACTCATTTAAGCATAGTTTATAATTAATTACTGTTATGCAGTTTAGGGTTTAAATTTTATACTTTCTAACTTTTCAAGTTACTACTTTTTCTTTTTTCTGAAAACTTTAATCAATTTTTCTTTTCCTTAATACGTTTACAATTTTTTTTTATTTTATGTTATAAATCTCGTTTATTGTTATATGTGTTTGTTTTTAATCTTTTTAAAGTATAGAAGAAAATTTAAAGTTTTCAGATTTAACTTTTATCAGTTTTTCAAGTGAACAAAACATAAAAAATTATAGAAATTATAAAAAAAATTAAACTATAATTGTGAAAAAAGTAGAGGAATTTAAGATGATGCTTTAGTAACAAACATAAGAAGTTGTTGTATAAACTTAAAGTACTGTTAATTTAACATGCTATGAATTCAGAAAAAAATAATTTTAATAAATATGAGTATGTATGTTATCAAAAAAGATTAGGAAAAATTCTAATATCTTATGAATTGAAGATGTTCGATAGGTTCCACCTAACTCGTGTGTTATATTGTAGAATATGGAACCATATACGGAAAATGAATAGAGTAAAAAATTGTAAAAAAAAAAATGACGAAAAATTTGGATTAAAATATCAAAACTCTTCTTTTTTTAGTTCTTTTACTTAAGGCAATATTACATGTTTGGTAAAATATATTTGGCAATAAATTTCGGTGTTTAAAATTGTATACCATAATGATCTTGTCCTCGTATATGTGTATAAGCATAGCTTTTGCAATGTGAATCTGTTATACGGTGTCATAAGGATAAATCTAAAATTGTGATCTTACCATTGTTCCTGAAAATCTATAAAAAAGAGCGTAGGCAAAAAGTTGAACTAAAGCTATGCAGAAATCTTAATTAATAAATCAAAACTGGGCTGGGATACATCTCTTAGTTGGATAAAAATATATTTTTTCAGGTTTTTTGATGTATTAACCATAATGAAAAGAATCTGTTTGGTCTAGATTCATCGTCACTCCAAAAAATCTACAGTTCAAATAAAGTTTTGATATTGTACAAAAGAAATATTGTACAGTACCGAAATTTAAAACACAAATAACGAAGATAACTTAGTTGATATGCATATAGTTGTTGATTCATGGTAAATATGTTGAAATTTGCTCTAGAAAAGGATTTAGCAAAGCACCTAAGATGACTTTGAATTAATTTTATTATGCTTTGATATGATTTTTATTTTTCTTCTTAAAAAAAATCAATCTTTTGTTATCAAAGCATAAAGTAGTATTGAGCCTTTGAATTCAAAAATTTCATTTATTGCAATTGTATGCATTATATAAGCATTTGTATTTATTTGACCTTCTTTGTAGGAAAATCTTTGTAATGTGATGACCAAAGTGAAAATATTTCAATATTCACTTTATACGCTTGAACACAAAGAGGATTAAATTTCTAATATAACAAAGTACAATCAAATCAATGGTTTGTAAAGTAGAATTTTCCCTTAAACAATATGGAAAATACTACTTTTAAAAAGAATTTACCATATTACTTTACTGTAAGAATGGTTGAATTGAAGGGCTAATTGCTTGCAGTTTCAGAAATGTAGATGCCGAAAATTCAAATTTTACGAATTTTATGAGTGATGGTAACTTGTGTGGGAGGTGGAAAAAAATTTTCTTTTAACTAAGTAAACTATTTGTTGACGAATTGTCGTTATTATTAGCTAAAGGCTGCTAAAATTTTAGATTTTTACAACTATAGTAAATAATAAATTAGTCAGCTTATTAAGTTCTAGATAATCTAATTTTGTATAAATTTTCTTCGAAGTTATAACGATTCTCTGGAGTCTAGAATTTCAGAGCTTTTATTGTTTAAACAATTTCAATGGGATTTTTGACTTCATATGCGTTTTTATTTACCTTCATATTATATTTTTGGCTTTATATATGTATAATTAATATATTAAAAAACCAAATACATAATCAAAGAAACAACTAAAAATATAATTTTAAAATAAAATAATTTGCAAATGTGCTCCATATAAATATTAAATAAATTATTAGAGAAGAGAAAATCTTTCGAAACGAAGCATACACAAAAATATTTACGAATTTATTTCATACTATTACTCACTATTAATCGTTAATACATTACCAATTATGACGAATTGTTGTTGTTAATTCTTAATGTTTTTAATTTTATTGATAATAAAGTAAAATTTATATACACAATATAATATAATATGTCTAGATAATTATGCGATATTTTTCTGTTTACGTTCGATTTACTTTGCTACGGAATTTATGAGTTGAGTACTACAATATTCATATCTCTCAATGATTTATTTTTTTTCTCTTTATAAATTGCTCTATTCGCTCTAGTGGTGTAATAAAAAGAACCAGCTTAAAAAAAAGAGGCAAAAGGAGAATGTCTCTTTAATTTCTTATGTTTTATTATTTTTTCTCTTCATACTTAATTAGTGTTGGCACTTTATGAATGAGTGTATCAATCTTATTTAAAATTTATGACCTTGTAATTTTAAAATTAATTTATGTGTTTAATACATATTGGTATTGTATTATGGGATTTTATTTTAAATTTTTAATTTCACTACACCATTATGTACATATACTTCAATTAGTAGTTGAAATCAATACCTTACATAACTTTAGTATTTCAAAATTTTGTTTGTTTAAGTCGAATTGAATATTCTTAAAAATAATTTAAAAATAAATTTATTGATTTAATTCAATGTTTTGGGTTTAAAATCATATTTAGATATAGATGTACTATAATATTAAATAAATATTAAAACACGATTTTTAAAAGATGTAGCAGACTTTTATTCCAGAAGATATTTTCATATGGGAAAATTCTATTTTATAATTTTAAAATTTTGGTACAATTTTCTTTCTATTTATTATCAACACTATAAACACAACAATTTCAAACGTATGTTTTATTTATATATGTGTTTCGTTTTCATTTAACTGAACTCTGAGAATACTCAATTTTTTTATGCTAATTTAAATAAATAAGCTTTTGCTCATTAAAAAAAAAGAAAATTCAGTTAATAGTTTTACTCTGAGGTGTAAAGCTGGTAAAATTGAACAAATATTAATATTGTAGCAGATAGATTGTTTTTGTTTTGAAAAGTTTCTATTTTTCTTTTAATTTAATAAATATTTTTTTGATTTCATATCAGTGAATATAAAATATTAAATTTTAAAATAAATTATGTCTTTAAGAATTAATATACCTGATTGTAATAGTAGTCATTTACAAAAACTTGCACCATCAAAATGGAAAGAGTTACGTGATTATTATTTAAGAGATTGGCCATATAATATGGTTGGTTATTATACATTAGATAATTTCATAAGGTGGATTCGTATTGAACCTGACATTAAAAATGTAGCCATATACGTATTAAGATCGAATAATAGAGATCCTCATGCAATGATAAATGCTACTTTTTTAATAGTGGTAAGTTTTAAAATAATTGTTAAATACAGTAAATTATGTTTGTACTTGTTGAATAAATAATTTACATATTTTAATGTATAAATTTGAATATTATGGAGAAATGTGTTAAAATTATGAATTATTTTTCAGAAATGATAATAACTGTAATTTTAATTTATTATAATACTACTACATTTTTAGGATCGATATCAATTATTTTTCAATACACTTTACAACACTAATACAAATTCTTTGCGAAGAGCATTATCATTATTGGATTGGAGTCCTGGATATAAAGTTAGCACTTTTTTGGATAGGCATAAGGAAATTGTTTTAGATATAATAAATGAGAAGGGATTAACTTTAGAGTGGGGTAATAGTGCAACACCAATGGGATATTTTGAAAGACAAAATGCTGCAGATTTAGAATTAAAGTATGTATATTTATAATTAATTATTTAAGAATTTAAAAATATAACTCGAAGTTAACCAATATACACATATTACGTATGTTTGTATGTAGAAAGTAATATGTTTATTGTTTTGAAACAGTTGTCCTGATGATATCGATTTGAGACCATTATCAGAAAAAGATTGTGAAATTGCTGATGCTTTGTGGCCAAATCGACATTATGGTTCATTATTTTTATTAAAACGTTTAGCCAAATTAAATCCTAGTATTGGAGCATTTAAAAGAGATACAAATGAATTAGTTGCATGGTGTTTTCAGTATGTCTTTATAGTTCAATGAAAAAAAAATTTTTTTTATTTAAAAATAAAAATTTTTTGAAATTTTAGATTACAAGCAGGTCCCTTAGGAGCTTTACAAGTTAAAGAGGAACATAAAAGAAAAGGTTATGGAAGTTTATGTGTTCGAGCAATGGTAAAAATTTTAGCTGCCAATGATTGTGATACTTTTGCATGCGTTAGTGAAGGTAACGATGCCTCATTTAAGTTATTTAAAAGCTGTGGATTTCAATTTATTGATGTTTGCAATTGGTTGAGAACTAATCCTATTAAAGCCTTGGATACTGATTGGGAGAAGGAATAAATGTTTTTCATGTTGCAAAATCAATTAAGAGTTTAAAAATGTAATTGTTTATTGTTTAAAATAATGTTATACGTTTGATTTCGAATACCAACGAATTTAATGTATGAATTTAAAACAAATATCTTAAAAGTGTGACTATTTTTAATATAAAACTATTTGAACTAAATTTTATTTTATATGAACGTGTTAGACCCATTAAAATGGACATCTTATTTTTATGCAAAAGTAATTTTTTCATTCTTTTCTTTTCAATCATTATTTTTAATAGAACAACAAAAATGATTGGCTTTGAATTGTAAGATTCAAATTTAAAGTGGTTAAACAAGACATTTCGTGTAATTTGATATGCATACATACAATACATGTATGTATTTGAATAAGAATATGAGATGGTCATAAAATTGAGAAATTCCAAGCTTAAATTTTATAAAAATTGAGAGAAAAATTGATAGAGTGAAACCGATGACACAATTTTTGTTTTCGTTTATTTTGTGAATTGAATTCGTTATGTTATTATTATTACAGTTTCACGAATAATTTTTTGATGATAAATCTAAAACCACAACAAAGTACAACACAATATTACTGCGTTTACTAAATTAATCTGCAATCTGCAATTAAAATTGCATTGCTGAATAACTCCAATTTATTTTTATTTAGGTAAATTCTCTTAATTGCACGGAAGTGGACATGTATGTACAAATATTCGCTTAGAAAGATTAGAAGCTAAAGTACACCAAATGACATATGTATAGTTTTAATCAAAAGGCAAACTCAAAAATAAATACTGAAATTCTATTTAACTTTTAAAAACGTGTACTAAATACTCAACAATGGGCAATAAATTAAAAGTATGTAAAGCTTTTTGTATACCTATTATGTATTTTGGATGACAACTCTAAAATTATTCTATTAAAATGTACATGTATAATATACTCGTATGTAGGTGTATCTTAACTTATCTCACTGATAATTTCATACCTTTTCAATCAAAGAAACTACAAAAACGACAACGTTTCTCTTTAAGATTTTTATAATTTTAGTTAACTGTTTACTCTTGAAACAATTGAAAATTTTTTATTATTTTGTTCTCAGCATTTATTGCTCTCAGCTGTTTGACATGCTGATAATGGTACTTAATCTTATTGTAGGTAAATTAATAACTCATTTTTCTCTAATAAATGAAACAGTTTATATTTTAATTTCATTGTGTATAAAGCTTGTTTTGTGTTATCTTGTTCGTATTATTACAAAAATATTTTTATTTTGTTTATTCTTGTCAAAAAAATTATCTGTAAAATTGTTTAATTGAATTTAAATCATAATTTATTCATTCGTCTAAAAAGAAACTTTAAAATTTATGCTCAAACATGGGAACTTGCGATGAACTACTGAATAAGTGTCACTTAATGAAACTCCAACCACCAATGTGGCCAGAACTGCGTGATTTATATTTAGAGAATTGGCCCCATAATATGGTTGGTTACTATACTTTAGATAACTTTATAAGATGGACACGTTTGAAAGGAACAATTAGAAATTTAACTATTTATGTATTAGCTTTAAATAATCGTTCTATTCCTGAAAGAACCAGTGGATCATTTATTATTATTGTGAGTAAAAACAATATACATAAGTACATATAATTTTTAGTATTTGAACTATTTTAAAAAAATAGTTCATACTAAAAAATTTAATTTTGATCTAGGATCGGTATCAACTGTTTCTTAATTCACTTTACGGACAAGATACTAAATATATACGTATGGCCTTACATTTATTAGATTGGAGTCCCGGTTATAAAGTGAGTACATTTTTAGATAGACATAAACAAATTGTGAAAGATGTCATTTCTGAAAAAAGTTTGACTTTGGAATGGGGAATTGAAAGTACTCCGATAGCATATTTTCGTAAAGAAGCAGCTAATATTTTTGAAATTAAGTATGTGAACACCACCCATACAAAAATTTTTATTACTGTTCTTCTAAAAAAATCACCAATTTTTTTTATATGTATGCATGTAGTTGCCAAAATGATATCAATTTGAGGCCTTTGTCGCAAGTAGATGCCGAAAATATTAATAAAATATGGCCAAATTTACATTATGGATCGTTATTTTTTATTAAACGTATAATTGAGCTGAATCCTAGTATTGGGGCATATAAAACAAATACGGATGAATTAGTAGCATGGTGTTTACAGTAAGATTAAGTCAAATAAAATAGTGTTTTTAAACGTAAATAATATTTATTAAATTTAATTGTAAAGGTTACAATCTGGAGCATTAGGAGTTTTACAAGTTAAAGAAGGTTATAAAAGAAAAGGTTATGGAAGTTTAGTTGTCCAAGCAATGACAAAAATTTTAGCTGCTAGAAATAGTGATACTTTTGCTTGTGTTGGTCAAAATAATCAAGCATCACATAATACTTTTAAAAAATGTGGTTTCGAAATTATTGATGGTTGTAATTGGTTACGAACTAATCCCATTAAACCATTAAATATTAATTGGGAAGAAGAATAAAATGAAAAATTTTCTAATGATTTCATCAATAAATATTTTTAAGTTATGGACAATATTAAATCATTTTGATTTTTGTATTACATTATCATTAGATTAATATCGACTGAATGTAAAATGAAGTTGCAGGCCTTTATACTGTATGTACGTTTTTTGAACCTATAAGATGAAAACACACTTAATATGCACATTTTATTACTAACAAATTTATTACGGGAAAACCTAATGACCTAGATTTTTAAAGTGTATTGTATACTGTGCAGAACATTGGAACAAAAAAAAATATATTATAAATTGCATAATAAGGACACGGTTTTTATTTTTTTTATTTTTTAAGGAAAATATTGAAAAAAAGGAAAGAAGAGAAAAACTGCCTACTTCGACAGCAGTAAGTTTCTTGCATCTTTTTTTTTCCTTTCGACATTTGAAAATCTTTTTCAGTTACTTGGGATTTTACTATCTTGTATATTTTCATTTTTAAAAATCAACCAAGAAATTTTTCCTTTTTAATACACAATAACTTATTTTTATATAACGAAGCTTCTTGATTTCTATATAATAACGTTCAATGAACCTTTTTCCTTATGGTATTCTGATATTTTTTCTAAAGCGGATGGATGTTGGTATGTTAAATTTGGTAAAAAAGAAAAATTAAAAATTATCAAAAATGAATTCTCTTTAGAATGAAAAACCTATTTTATAAGGAACATGAAAAAAAAAAACTATAATAAAATATTGCTATAATGATGTTACTATTAAAAAAGAATTGCAGGAAATGCATAACAAGAAAATAAAAATGCGAAATGAAAACGAGTATCCTGATATAGAAAAGAAAAAGAGAAAAGAAAAGAAATATGTATGTTTTCGGAACATTTGATGTGAGCCAGAAGAACGACGAATAGTGCAGGGAAGACAAAAAAAAAATTTAATAATACATATACATGCACCTGAAGCTGCTGTTACAGTAAATTATACTTTAAGATTATTATTTAAATGTCACAATATACAATAGTAGCATTAAGGGTATTATAAATTTTCCGAAAAGGAAAAAAGGTATTTTTGTTAAAATATGAATTAAATTTTTCTTCAACATTTTTACATTTTTTTTTTTGACGGAAAATTTCTTGAACGTAGAACTTTTTACCAATTATTAATTGTCAAAATAGACGCGTATAGAATTTTGGTAGGATTATGTTATATAGAGTTCTTTTAAAAGCATGTATTTATAATCCGTTGAATTCTCGATAAATTGAATAAATAATTGAAAGAAATGAAAGAAAAAAAAATAGTTGAATTTTCATATTTTAATCTATTGAACTTCCGGTTGAAATGCACTTCTAAATGATAGGGAAGCGCAAATAAACTATCGTCAATAACAGAAATACAGTAATGCCAACTAACTTTGTTGGCATCACTATATTTCTTTTATTATATTATGCAAATGCAATAAAAAAAATAACCAAAATATTAAAAATTATCTAGATATTCGCTTTTATATGTATATTAATGTACGTCCGTGGAGAGTAATAATTCACTTATTAGTGTAAGAATTCTATAGGATTTTTAACACAAGTCATTCATTGTTATTCCTTATTTATGGTTCATATATTGCAGTAAGGCCAATGTAAGTAACGGTATATGTACATACATTTTACATATAAGTTTAAACAATAATCGAAAAAAATTCCCTAAAGAAAAGAGAAAATTCTAGTGCAATTCTCCTATTATTACTTTTTTTTCACTTTTTTTTGTATAATAAAAAATTTTGTATATTATTTGACTACCTTGTTATTTGCATTTGAATCTATTCAAATGTACAAAGAATGAAAAAAAAGGAAAAAAAAGAAATATGTGATACATAAAATTTTATTGTTAATATTTACCAATTCCAATTGAATGCTGCTGAACTTGTATTATCCTAGATTGTTATCATGTCTTCACTCTACTAAATTTTGTTAAAAAAAATAGAAATAAAAATAAAAAATTTTAATGTTAAAATAATATGCCTTTACATCTGTATTAATATTATTTAAAATATATACGTACGTACATACATACGTAATTCATAATTTGAAACTGAAATAAAGTTTTAATACAATATTTTATTTACCAAGCTCTTTATCATTATTATACACTAATATTCTGTTCTACTATTCTATACATCTATACAATTCCTCTATATGAAGTTACAATACATGTGAAGTAATAAAAAGGAGACTATAGTAGGTACTTTTTCTTTATTTGTAATAAAATGATGCTTAGCACTCAATGTGTAACGGTAAATTGCATTTTATATCATAATTGTTATGTCTGTCATAACTTATAATGATCCCATTTTTTTTTCTTTCACATTGTATTCTATATTTATTGTTCATGCTTAAAATTACATACCTCTATACCTATATACTTATGTTGTAATATGGACTAGGGTTACCAAGTTGAAGGAAGTAAAAGTATCAAAATTATAGAAGAAAAGCGTGGAAGTTTATAGCAAATATTAGATTGAAATAGAAATAATCACAAAAGTAGTTATAAAGTTCTAGCTATTTCATTCAAAATATAATTAAAATATAAGAAAAATAAAATTGATATTCTCTTCAATAAGAACCATCGCAAATTAAGAGCGAGAAAAAGTAAGAATGACAGTTGAAAACATATTTTAAGATTTTTAATCACTCAATCTAATCAATGTAAATAGCATAAGAAAAGAAGAATCTTTTCCTATTTTTCATCTTATTTTTTAACATCTGAAAAACAGAAAATGGTGAGTGCAAAATTTTTCTGATCAACTGATTTTTCTATGATCAACTGATTTTTCTCTTTTTTCAATTACAAAAATAAAAAATCAACTAAAATGCCAGAGAATTTGACCAAATCAAATTTGATTTGTAAGCACTAGTTCCATTAATTTTACGAATTATTTGTCTAATTTTACTTGATTTGTAAACACTGTCGTAAAGTTAACCAAAATAGCAACATCTTTAATAATAAAAAAGCAGTATGGTAACACTAATGTGTATCTATACTTAATAACTATGTACTGTATGTATACAACAAGAGTATAAAACTTTGATACAGAAAAAAATTAAATTCAAAATAAGTTCAATGGATTGCAATATAATGATAGATGACATTTAAATTTAATATAAAACGGTACAATAAATAAGAAAAATATAAATTTCATATTATATTGTGATCAAAAAGAGTTAGTTATAAACCTATCATGTGAAATTGTTAAGTCCTTTAGAAGGATATTTCAAGAGAATTTTCGAATTTTCTATGTGAAAATATAGTTGATGCTTTGTACAATGTTTTGATAATAGCATCAATTTTTTTCTCCCATTTTTTTTTGCTTTACCAATAATATGCTTTAACGAGTTGTCATGAAAATAGTAAATAATAAAGAAATAACAAAAAAAAAAAATTAAATAAAATATATAATGTCATTTGATATAAAATTTATGCAGGTACTTTTTTTAGCAGTTAAGTAGTAAATAGCAGTTAATATCGCACTGTATATGGGGAACAAGTGGAAAAAAATGCAAAGTTACACATTAAAGACAAGACAATTATGAAAATAATAAAATCGATTAAAATTTGATCTTAATTTAACCTAATATATTTTGGGAGTCACTTCTACAATGACGGTATTTTAGAGATAAGTGTTTGGATATTTTGATGTCGGCACTCTTTATTTTATATTTATTGTTGTTTCATTATTATAGTCAAATTGCTCCACTACACATGTTCCAGTTTTAAAGCGCGGAGGCTAATTTTATTCGTTCCATAGACATTTTAAAATATTCCAAAATTTTAAAACAGAAAAACTTATTTTAGTTATTGAAGTACAGCAATAAAATGTCAGTACGACTTGTATTTAATATTCCAATTGACGACCAAAGTGACATATAGCATTTGTCTCAGCCAACTGGTTGTCGTTATTTTTTGACGTATGGAGTTATGAACCGATGTTAAAAAATTTCGATTTCACTTGAAACGTTTCATTCTCGATTACATCTTGTATTTACGTAACTACACAACGGGATTCCAGACTAGACAACTCAATCAAATGATGTTATTGCGACGACGGCAAATGTTAGAATAAGTGACGCAACTGTCACAATAAGGCTCAAATATGTATTCCGCTAAGCTGGTAAATATGGTGCACTGATATCGTTTATTAATAATTCAATGAAAATAAATCAAATTAATTAATTCATGTGTTATAAATGGTGTGACATTTTGATAAAATTGAGTTCTAACTACCGTGTTAAAAAAAATATTGCAGTCGGGTTTTTCTTATATGTATTTCTCATTTTGTGCTTTCAATTTTTTTCCCAATAAAATAATTTAAATAATGTTGAAAGCTAAAATAGTTTACTTAAAATTTGTTGAAAGTTTTAAAAGTTTTATCACATATTAAAAAGATAGAGAAAAAAATCGAATTGTTTTAGTAACGTAATTTTTTTTGCTTTAATTTATCAATTTATAAAAGTTTGAATGAATAATGCTTTCATGCACCTTATTCGTAGATCTGCATGTAGAATAATCATATCTAAATCACAAAAGTTTGAAGTAATTTGTGCTTTAAATGAAAGAAGATTATGTGACTGCCGACTTGAAGAAGACACCTGACTAATAACTCTTGGAAAATATGAAATATTTTGACTGCGAATTTTAATGTTAGATTTACTTATGCATAATTTTGTATATTATTTGAGAAGAGTCGGTGCACTGTCGCGCAACGAAATAGCATTCTATTTATGTTTGGAGCAAGACAGTTTCTTTTCTCTATCGACTTAAGCATTTTTGAATCATCGAATATATTGAGATTGCCAGCGAACAGATTTTACGAGAGCTTCTAAACTTCAGATACAATATTATTAGGTGTTATTTGAGCTGGTAGTACCCCATCCACATAAGATTTTCTGCTTATTTTTATATTTAATAAATCAATTGTCTTAAATGTTATTTTAGATCATATTTAAGAAAATTGGACCAGGCAATAATTTATTGTGACTTACAATAGTTTATATTAATCAAAGTGAACTGCCAAAGCTTTATTACTTTTATTGTTTCGAGAATTGGTCTAAATTCTCTTATTTAGAAAGTGTTATAAAAGGACTTGTAAATTCAATGAAAATTTCAAATTTCGAAAAATCAAAAAGAAAAAATAGAAATTTAAAATTAAGCGAATTGAAATAAGTATGTTTTTTTTTGTTAAAAACATTTAAAAGCTTTTAAATCTTTTACAGAAAAACAAAATTTAAAAGTTGATTTTTGTCTTAACT